CTTCTTTTTGCCCACAGCCAATCCCACTGATCCTGGGGAGGCTCCCAACCTTCAGGTGAGTGATCCCAGCCATCTCCTTTGACTTCTCCCCACTCCCTTCTCCCCTGCTGTCTCTTCTCTTGCCTTCTATCCTGCGGTCTCTCTGTGGATCCCCATGGCTCTTTTCTGTTTTCTCCAGGCTGAAAATACAATCACCTATTCACTTCTCAAGCACCCGGAAGCTCCAGAGGAAGAAACATAGCACTTTTACCAGTAACGTATTTAGTCTCCATTGTCTCGCCTTGCGATTTGGGGAAGAGAATCAGAGAGGCAGAAGACCTGGTGTTTCCCAGCTTAAATTCCCCTTGGGGAGAAGAAGGGAATGCTGCAGTTCCAAAGAAAAAGGACTCCTCCAGTGTTACCCATGTGAGTCCTGAAGCTCCCTGTTTTGAAAGCCATAGACAATATAGTCCTGGATGGCTGACTATATTCACTCCTGTGCCTCCACGCTTCTCGACATCAGGACTCCTCTGTTATACATCAACACTGCTAATAAAATTAATGAAGTTACTGCTATAAAGAGATTGTAGCAACACAAGAAATGCTTATGTTACAGGCTACATAAGAACAATTGTACAAGTACATATAATTTCAGAAATGTTAAAAAAGACTAACATTATAACAACATACTAAAAGTGTTTATTTCAGGGTGATGGAATTATTAGTGATTTTTACTTTATTTTTCTATGAAGATCATGTATGACTTTTATAATAAAATATTGCATAAACAACATTCTGTTTACCTTGTCAAGGCTGTATTTGTTGGAGTGTAGACTTGAATTATCTGGGGTCTGTTTCTCTTCAATGATAAGAGTCCTGGGAAGGTAGTAATGGATAGGATGAGGGAGAGGACAGATGGGGATCTGGAGTGTAGGGTCAGTGCCCCTCTTTTTACGCTGAATACCCTCCTTCCAATGAACCTGTATTCTTGTTTCCATGTTTTTGTCTCTTTCTTCCTATGGCAAATGAAACAATCACTTTTTGCAACACAAGTTCTCAGGAAGCCAAATTTCAGATGAATTCCAGTGGAGACTGCTGCCTCTTCCTACTCTGCTGTTCCCCAGTTCTGTTACCAGAAGGATATGACCTTCCAGAGAAGCCATGAAAAGTTAAAAACATGACTGACAAATTAGAAACATGACCAAAGGCTTCCCTGGGGGCCTGGTGAGCGCCCTTGAAGAGGCTTCGTTTTTCTGGGACTCACAGCATCGTTGTGCAACATTCCTCCTGCATTCAGGGTTTAGGAGCTTCCTTTGTAGGGTAGTTTCCATAGATTTCTATTATACTTATTTATTATGAAACAATGAAATGCTACATGAACTTAGAGAAAATTATGTTACATGAAATATGCCAGGCATAGAAAGAGAATGTCCTCA